AAAAAGAATGCGCTATGCTGGCGCAGTGAGAGTGGATCATATATATATATATATAATAGTCGTAAATTCCTCTGTTCGCAACTTTTGCCTGCAGTGTGGTGTTGTTGAACAGGCAAGCTTTATTTAGGCTCACTTGTGTGGGCATAGGTATCAAAAAATATAAAGAGCATCAAAAAAAATAAAAACAGGATCAAAAACAAAATAAAAAGCGAATCAAAAAAACATATTCCTTGATAGGCCTCTTCTGCTGCTCTCCTGGCCTTGTGGTCTGCGGGTCCTCTGGTAATGTGGTCCCTTGGTCCTTTGGTCCCTTGGTCCTCTGGTCCACTGGTCCTTTGGTCCCCTGGTCCCTTGGTCCTTTAGTCCACTGGTCCCCTAGTCCTCCGGTCTCCTGGTCCTCTGGTCCTGTGGTCCGCTGGTCCCCTGGTATCCTAGTCCTTCTGTCTCCTGGTCCGCTGGTCTTTTGCTCTCCTACGGCGCTCGTCTGTCGATCTCCTGGTCCCCTGCTTGCGCAAATAGAGGCTTGATTGCTTTCTACTATAGGCAGCTCCCTGGGAAGAAAGTAGGTACCCAACGATAAGGTTGCCGTCCAGTCATTGAGTAGCCCTGCTCGAAAAATGGTTCACCAGTGGAAATAGCTCCCTACTAGGAGGGAGCTCCTGGGGAGGTACACTCTCCTCTACTACCCCAACCATCCTCAGTGGGCTAGGATTTTTTTTGATTACCTTTGTATTTTTTATTGATCCCCGCTGAATATTTTTTGATTCTATTTTTATTTCTATTTTGATCCCTTACCCACTTGTGTGTGCTTGCTTCACATTCGCAAAAGGATCGTGGCTTCACGCGACGGGCTAAAGGATGATTGCCAAGCCAAGTGAGACGACGTGTCCTCTATAGAGCCATTTTTGAACTGTATTGGAGGGTTTCAAACTAATTTTTTTTGAACACCTGCGGTTGCATTCCCGAATGGAATGGTGGTCATGTACGTGCTGGGCTGCTGGACCTTCAAGAACACGTGCATGAATATAGAAATTCCAAATGCTGACAGAATGCGAGCCCACATTCTTCGACTTGGAGAAGTGCTGATTTTCCAAGTCGAAGTGTGTGTATTTGTGTGTTAGGATAGTTTTTTGTGTTGTATTTACTTGGTCTTCAGATATCTCCTTGGGGGTTGCGAGCCGTTTGATGACTAGATCTGCGGATGAGGGCACTCCGCTTCAGCAGGTGTGCGCAACTCGAGAGGAAGTTAAGCCGCACACGGCACCGCGCAAGCATAAGAGCAAGAAACACAGGCCTTATCTAGCTGTTGGGTTGGAGGCCGTCGCAAGAAGTTACCCCAAAACTCAAGGTGCTGCCATGCTTCCCAGGCTGATGCCATTTGGAGTGCTCATGGCTCATGGAATAAGAAGGGTCAAAGAAACAAGAAGACAATCAAGAAAGAAGCGGTCCTAAGTGGTCCCCCTTTTGGTCCCTTTGGGTTTCCTAAGAGGTCCAAAAAGGTGGTCCTTCTTGGTTGACCTTGCAGGTTCTCTTCACCTGACCTTCTTGCACAAAAGCCGTTGAGTGTCCAAAAAACTGAAAGAAAGGGTGCTGTTTTCATTCCTGGGCTTCCAACAATCCGAACTGCTTCCGCTGGATCTTTTTCTGGGCGCTTCCTGGTTCTGTTGTTGATTTGGTATTTGGTTTGTTTGGCGATGATTCCGGTGACTCCTTGGTATTTTATGGGCTTTGCTGGGTGTTTTGGCTTGTGGCTGGCTAGCCTGTTCTTTATGCCATTTGCAAGCATCACTTCCGCGATTGGCTCTTCGTCATGCTTGCCCTCTGGGCGCAACATGCCCGTCCCCTCAAAAGCAAAAACCGAACAAGGACCAGCACCCAAACCACGAAAAACTTGTGTTTGCCGAAGGAGGCCACGCACAAAAGGCCAAGCCACAAATCTGTTCTGGAGGCTTTTGACTTGTCGTGCCCATTGGTGTTTGTTGGTGTCCTTCTGAGTCTTGCCGCTCAACTTCACCATGGCAGGCATCATTGTTTTGGTGCGACGCTACTGGGGTGGAGGCCATTCCTAGTAGCGTCCTTACATTGTATAAAACACCTGCACCTTGCCATGTTGGAGTGAGGCCCTAACAAAAAAGCATGCTCACACTCTCAGACTGTGAGTAGTTGCACCATCCTTTTTGAGGAAACGATGCTGACTGGACAAGTCCTAGTCCATTGGGATTTGCTTGGCACGGTACTTGGGGAGAAGAACACCTTATTCCGATGTGAGCTGAAGACTGGTACAGTTCTGGTGGGCTTAATGATTCCACAAGATCTTGTGGTGCTTCAGCTGCAGAAAGAACCGCGGTACCGCGGACCAAAGACTGTAAACATATGAGGCTCTTCCGTAAAAAATCCAGTGAGATATGAGTATCCAGATGCATCACGTGAGCGGATCAAAACAGCTCGTTTTTTCAGCCTCGACCGGTCCATTGACAGAGATGGTCGTTCGTTTGTGTCCCTAGTAGCGTTCTTGTTCCTAGTAGCGATGCCAGGAGCCCCTAGTAGCGTCCTCTTGCTCCTAGTAGCGATGCCAGGCGTGCATTCGCCAAAGACTGCTGGATCGTACAGCAGATTCCTCTGACGAGTCCACTGCAGAGCGGCCGCGGCAGCCTCGTCCCATCGACACACTCGAGTTGTCTGACGGAATCTCTGCGCTGGCTGAAAGATCAGACATCATGAGACAAACCCGAAGCAAAAGATACACAAGATACACCAAAAGCACGGGCCTTCACCCTTGGCGCTCTCAAAATAGATCTCAAAAGCAAGCAAATGGCCGCCATTGCTAAGAATTCCTACCTTTCCGCCTTTCTGTCGCATCGGCCGGACGCTTCGCGTGAACGAACGGTCGTTCCAAGGAGAGAGCGATTCCGTGTTGAGTGATGATGTACAGTGCGATGCACCACGGATGACACCGTGTCTTGGTTGAAACAGATCGACTTGGAGGTGGTGATGCTGTCAATTTCATCGTTCAAATTTGACAGATGCGGTTCGTTCCGACAGCAGTAGCAGCTGTCGAACCATGTTAAACTCCATATCGACTCTTGAGGTATGGGGAAAACACTCAATATAAAACTAATCGCAACTCGCTGGTGTCTCCAGTGGTACAACATGTGTTCGCTGTGCAGCTCCCACTCCATGAGCAAAACGGGAGAAATTTCGTTGGGACCAACCTTTCATCCAAATCACGTTTGCGTATCCATCATGGTCAAAACCGGAACAAAATGGTCTTGAACCCTCCACAGCTACAGAAAAACATAAACACACAATTTAGAGTTTCTGAACTCTAGCGTTGGAAACTGAGGTGTCATCAACAAAACCCTTGATTCCAGAAAAAATGCTCGTTTTGCAATCCCAAGGCAAAAAGTGCTCGTTTCCCGGAAAAGTGTACGCCGATATAACTTTAAGCACGTTTGCCAATAATTAATGACTACCACAAATCCAAGTGTAAACATGTTTGTTTACCAAAGGAGTGTCCAGTCTATTAATGACCATACATTGGAGGCCAGCGCTACTTGGGTTGGAGGCCACATCAACTTTTGAGGTCTGGACCGCCCCAAAAGCGAAGACGAGTTGTGACAAGCCTGGTGTTGTCCAGCAGCGAAGAGTGAGAAAAGGCTTAGAGGGCCGCCAGAAAGGGGGAATTAGCAAGAAAGGGCCTGAAAGGGTCTAAAAGGATTCGTTCAAGAAATGCACATTTACAGGTGGGTTCTGAGTGGATGGCACAATCCCCCCAAAAGTGGTTTGTACGGACCCCCATTTGAAGGACATCTTGCGGTTTGTGCCATCTACTCTGAAACCACTGTAATTGGAAAAGGAGTTAGGTGACTAAGCCTTTTAGGTTGGAGGCCGCCGCTAGTTGTAGGTTGGAGGCCAACGCTCTTAGGTTAGAGGCCATCGCCATCGCTACTAGGGTGGAGGCCATCGCTGTTCAGAAGAAGAGCACGAAGAAAAGACCCACCTTCCCCTCTTAGTTCTTGTGATTCCGAATCTTTGGAGACTGAAATGTCCAAACCAGCCACACCAAGTGATGACCGGCATTGCTGCAAGCAGAATAGGATCATTTTGCCTGTCAGATCACTTCAGAGGTTTCCACATGTTTCCACCTATTCAATCTCATACGCTTGTTCACTGACACCAATGATCTTCACACTTTAGATTCCCTGCGAGCCTAGCACGTCCACACAGCCTAGCATTCCCCACTCCAGTTCAGCTGTGCAGCCTAGCTTCCCTATGGATGTTGAAGACGATGCCTGGCAAGTTGAAAGAGAGTTTTTGGAGGAGCCGAGATCACGGGAATCTCACATGCAATGGCAATGCGGCGCTGCTATGTGCAACTACTATGTGCAACTACTAATGCCTTGCTCCTTTTATTGTTGTTCTTTGCGTTGGTTTTCTTCTCACTGATGCCCACCCGCTGCACAAAATGGTTCTAGTCCAAAGGGTTTGCCCCACAGAAAGCTTGAACCACTTGAACAAAGCTTGTTCTACTTCCTTTGTGCTTTTTCGAGTCTTCCATGTGGACATCACATGAAACAAAATTCGAAGATGCCGATGCAAGCAGATGCAACGAGTAATAACGGACCGCATTCTTGTAGAGCCCCAGTACAGCTTAAGTTCATTTGACAGCATCAGGAGGATTGCCAACATGAGCCTGAGAAGGAGGAGCTTGAGGAGCTTAGAGAAGTGGAGGTGAAGAATGAGGATTTGAATCAGGATCAAAAGGATCAAGGTTGTGAGGAAGACACCAATCTTCCAGTCTGTGATGATCCGTACATGGAAGGAACTTCGACTTCCAGTTGCACCGCTTCGACCTTCGTGAAGGCTGAAGAGCGAGATGGCGACGCGTTCGAAAGGTCAGACCTCGAGGCCGCCATGCCCAAGTTGCTGGCGTTTCTGACGGACCTTCGCTCCGAAGGAGTCGACGCGACATCGCCGGAGGGGTTGGCTCACCTGGCCACCGGCACCCTGGTGGCAGCTTCACGTCGCTTGTGGAGACTGGGCGCTTTGGAGCCACAAGGCTATGGCGTTCCACCGAAAGTGACCGCTTTGGGCACTTGGCTGTTGAAGGTGTCGAAGAACCACTCGGTGTCACCAGCTGCAGCTCGGGCCTTGTTCTTCGGTGCTTTTTACCATTGTTTGCTTCCCATGGCTGCGACGGTGGCTTTGCTGCAGCCAGACATGGAACCGAAGAAGAGCCTCCGAACGGCGTGGCGAAGTCGCTTGCGGTCCTCATCCTTGTCATCCACTGCCTGGTCGGGACACTTCATCCTGATTGCTTCCTACCTGAAGTGGAGAGAGTCGAAAGAGATGAGAGAAGGGAGTCTCTTTTCAGCTGTGGCTGTGAGAGAACAGACTGAAGCACCAGAGGAAACTGGTGTGTCCGAAACCCAGACTTCGTGCAGCGAATGTCACACTGCCGAAGATGCAGAGAACGTAGCCACAAGTGCTGAGGGGATTCACGCTCAGAGCGCATCCAAGACCAACGGAGATGCGTTTTGGGAAGCATTGGATGCGAAGGTCATGACATTTTGCCAATTTGCGCAGTCGCAGTTCAACCTTAATGATCTTGACCTTGACGGAAGACCGTGGACGGTAGCCCTATTGAAGCTGCCTCAGTTGTGCCACGAGTTGTTTTGTGTATTTTGCAAGCTTAGCGTGAGGGGTGTAGAATTGCGTAGGTGTTTTGGGAGGCAGTGTGGCCGCATTGTTGCCTGGCTGGCGCAGATTAAGCCCAACATTGTAATTATTGTAGTACTATAATGTGTGAGACAGGGTGAGACTTTGTACATCCTCCTTTGTTCATTGAAATCCTAAACCTAGTTGTGATGTTTTGAGCAGTTTTCCAATGATCTTTCCATATCTTTCCAGTGACAGACCCTCATGTTGGATTTTCCTCCCCTCTTTTCGACAAATATGTATTACCTATAGACCTCAAGAAATAGGTACATGACAAGGTAGTTCAAGACAAGCCCATTTCATGGGCACACGGTTTGATGTGACAGCAAAGGACATCGCTACTAGGAGCAAGGACGCTACTAGGGGCTCCTGGCCTTGCTATTAGGAACAAGAAGCTACTAGGGCTCCTGGCATCGCTACTAGGAGCAAGGACGCACACAGTTTGATATGACATCATGCAGATGCAAACATGTTCTTTCGCACCATGGACCATTGACCCGTGCGTCGTTTAGCGCCAGGGACGACCAGCACTCTTTGGTTTTGGCAGCGTTGTGCTCAGCCTTCCCTCCCCGACGACGTCCTGGAGAATGGGTGGTGCAAGGGGACTTCCGGAGCTTCCTGGAGGCAAGTACCGGAAGGTCAATGATGGCGTCCGAACGCTCCGTTCGTAGCGATGCCCTTTGCTACTAGTAGCGTTCTTTGCTCGTAGTAGGGCCAGGAGCCCCTAGTAGCGTCCTTGCTCAGAGATTTCAACTACAGTACACCTTTCTTCCTACTGCCTTTTCTTTGTTCTTTCTTTCCAATGGTGATGGCCTCCAACCTAATAGCCCTGCTCTTGAATCTTTGCCTTCTCGATACCGCGTCCGAAACTCTTTAAGTGTTGGTGCTCTCCGGCTTAGTGAAGGCTGGCAAGGAACCGCACAAGAGGACAAAGGTAAATTGACCTAATAGCAAAAGGAACCTACTAGCGATGGCCTCCAACCTACTAGCGATGGCCGAGCATGTTCCACAAAGGTTGATAGAGCCGCGTCCCCCAAAACTTCACTGACCGCAGGTGGAATTGCGAGTCAGCAACGCTTGTGCATGTTTGTTTACATCCTCCCCACCACGACGCGTGGGCGATCACGAAGTCGAGTTGGTGGGATTTTATGGAAGAATCAAACCTGGAATGGAGGCATCCTTTAAAGAATCATGCGCCATCAGGGCACAAATTGCCTCGAACATAGCGCTGGCTTTGGATCAAGGCAATGCAAGCATTGGCCTGGCAAAGGAACAGGTCCAACGCATTTTGAATTTCTTATCATCTCCCCGTGGCGACTTCTTGGTCTGCGAGAATGACAGCCACGAGCTGGGAGCGGATGGAGCGGCGGAAGGAAGTGCCGAGGAAGTTGGCCTTGGCGTTTTGACCCTTTTGGGCCGGGCAGATGCAGGCAGTGCATGTGGAGGACGGGATCGCATGTGCGTCCCTGCCAAACGCGCCAGCTACAAAGATGCACTTCGTGGTCGCATCGTGCCACATGCTCAACGGAAGCGGGCCAGCTCTGAGATGGGACCCCCAAAACCTCGGCCGGTGGTGAAACGGAATGATCACGATCACTCCGAATCTATGGATGTGAAGAAACGTGACGCAGATGGCGGAGAAGAAACTGAGAAGACCAATCCCGAGCCAATCCCGAGCAAGTGCGTGGAGGACGCTACTAGGAGCAAAGGGCATCACTACTAGGAGCAAAAACTCTACTAGGGGCTCCTGGCCTTACTACTAGGAGTAGCTGCTACTGTAGTAGCTAGAAGCTACTAAGTGCGTGGAGGACTGGGCCACCGGATTGGTGCACGCTGCTCTTTTGCGTGTGCTCAAGAGAAGGGCCGCTGCAGCCGAAGAATTTGATGTGGCGTCAAGGTGGGCATGGTTTCTTTGGCATTTATCGTCATGAATTGGTTCTATTGAATGGTATGCATGGGATTGTATTGAAAAGGATGCATTTTTTTGTGCTGTATGAATTAGTATCCATCGCTATTGGGTTGGAGGCCATCGCTATCAGTAACAAGAGGACGCTACTAGGGGCTCCTGGCCTTACTACTAGGAGCGATCGGACGCCACTAGGGGCTCCTGGCATTGCTACCAGTAGCATTCTTACCAGTAACAAGAAGGTGAGTAGGTTGGAGCAAAGTCGGCTGTATGTTCTATGCACACCTGCCAGGCTGAAGGCGCGAGAGAGAGGTGCAGATACGGCTTTGTGTGCAGGCCGCGCTCGCGCAGTGCAGCCCCTTGGCACTGATCCGTTGCCCTGAGTGGTGTTGGGTTGGACAAGACATGCGGGTGCAAGGCTTTTGCATGCGCCAAAGCTTGCCGCCATTGAGAAGCTCAATGATCGAAAACGCAAGGCTGTCGAGTTCGAAGATTACGAGCATCTTGCTTGCGTTTGGATGTTCAGTTTGCAAACTCGAATCAATTGGTGGAAATGAACTCGAAGATGTTTATTCTGAGGCTTGCCAGGCAGCTGAAACAAAAGGCCGTGGCGGTTGACTCTCGTGCTGCAAGACGCGTAGAACAGCACAGACGCGTAGGACATTTCTGTGAAACATCTCGGTGGAACGAGGAAGCTGAAATAAAGAGCGTGGACGAGGCACAAACATGTTTTTTCGCCCGTGAAACCGACGCCTCCTGGAAAATGGCTATTAGGTTGGAGGCCATCGCTATTAGGGTTCCTTTAAGGTGTCCTGCAAGTTTCCGTTTACAATATATCTCTCTTTTCGTTTCATTCATCAGACTGATTCATCAGCCGCTTCTTTTTTGCCGTGTAGGCTGCCCTGGAGGACCTTGCCTTGGAACAAGCCAGCAGGTTAGCTTCCATGATCCTTGGCGGCCTTGGCGGTGGCGGAATGTTTTCAGGTCTCACAGAAAAGTGCCTGCTTTGAACAGTCTAAAGTCTAGCCGCGTCATGGTCTGATCATGCAGCTAGCTATGATGCTATGATGCTAGCTATGATGCCAGGAGCTACTAGTAGCTTCTTGCTCCTTGTAGCGATGGCCTTCAACCTACTTGCGATGGCCTCCACCTAATAGCGTCCTTGCTACCAGTAGTTTCTTGTTCCTACTATGCCCAAGTCTCAGGAGCAAACATCGCACCAAGCTGATGAAAGCTGCAGGGGCCGAAGCCACGCGGAGCTCTGATGCCTCAAACCTGTGGGAGGAAGTCGCTTCTGTTCTGCCCACCTTCCGCCTCAGTCCACATCTCAGACATGTTCGTTCAGGGGCTGAAAGGACGCACAAACAATTTGTCCATGTGGAAACATGCTTTCAATTTTCCATGTTTGAGAGAACTTGTTTCACATTTCAAGGTGAAAAGGCCAGCGAGACGTGTGAAAAAGATGTGCCGTGGTGTGTTTTGCTACGGCTGGCTGTCAAGTTTTGTACCGGCAAGCCACAAGGATACCAGGCATGTATTGGCCATATCCAAGCATGATCATCCAATTATTATATTCAATATCTACCGATACATTCTGCAATCGATTGCAATCCTGCAGCCGGAAAGCTTTTGTAAAGTAGCACGAACTGGTGCAATCCGCCTGGTGCCCATGAACTTCACCTTGGCCAGAGCCTGAGGAGCTAGTAGTAACAAGTGCCACGCTACTAGAAACAGGTGCCTTACTACTAGTAACAAGAAGCTAGTAGTAACAAGTGCCTTACTACTAGAAACAAGTGCCTTACTACTAGATTTTCTGCACCTGCCTGGCAACTGCCTGGCGAGCAGCGAACGACTGAGGTGACTCCGGATGACACTTGGGTCAATTCCATGCAGGGCCAGGCGTGGAATCGTCACCCATAGGGCCGGGGTTGAAAAGGGCACTGACAGTGCACAACTCGGTGCTTCTTAGAATAGAACCAGTTGAGAACGATCGCTACGCACGAGGAATCAAGGAGGAGAATCTTCAACTGCACGAGGATGGAGCTAGGTCAGAGCCAAATGAATATCACTTGCAAGCTGCAGTTTAGATTAATAGGCCTAGGACCTTAAAGCAGCATTCTCCTAAGTGGGAGATAAGTTAGTAGAGCTGAGTTGAGAGAAGCTCAGATGATGCAACAAAAACACATGTTGAGACACGTTCCAGTCCAAAGCACCCCTGGTATAGTGTGACTTGGCGTTTTGCCATTCTGCCAAATCAGCCTCCAAAGTACACCTAGACTTGCATTTGACTAAAATCCGAGTGGATGATCTTTCATCCAATCAGTTTCAGCACCAACCTCTACAGGCAAATGTGCATTAACAGGCTTTTAGAATAGGGCAGCTGGTGCGCTCGAAGAACTTTGAGCGGAGTGCCCGCCAAGCTTCGCTTTGCGCCAGCTGAGTGCTTCTTGCTCCTAGTAGCGATGCCAGGAGCTACTAGTAGCTTCAAAGTGCCACAGCGACAAGTTGAACCTACGAGCGAATGCCTTTGCGTTCTGGGCTCAACAGCGTTTAGTCGCTAAGGCTTGTTCTCATCCCCTAGATCATAATATAAGATCAAAAGAAAACAGGAGGTGTTTTTATTTAAGAAATTTGTTCAAGGACCTCTACGAGCACCAAGAGTGCCTCGTTAGTGGAAAGGGCAGCCCTCCAGACCTGAAGCTTCCTGGAGGCGTTGCCTGAGTGCCTGGCTTTCCGCACTCGACATCGGGCAGATGTTGCCTTCATTGTGACTATGGCAGGGAGAATCATCCAGATGTCACTTGCTTGAAAAACGTGGTCAATCTGTTCATGCCTTGCTTCAGCCATGAGGTAGCCACACAATCAGCACACAATCAGCTTAAGGCAGTCTGGATTTGCCATGCTCGAGTCCGCCTATGTCGAGACCTCAAAGAAGAGAGGCTTCCTTTCGAAGGACTTCACTAGGATTGATTCAGATACAGCGGTTTCAGAGAAGATGGATTGTGCCATCTACTCTGAGACTACTATATATATATGATTATATAATATGCATAGATAGATGCATACACAACTGTAAGGACTGACTTTTTAGGAAAGCGCTTTGTCTCAGGCACCTGTTGCATGTGTCACTGTACGTTGATTTGTTGTGAGATTTTGTGAGGCACAACCCAACAACGCAGCGAACATCATGATGAAGAACTTGTTGGATTTGTGCATTGGTGTGTTGGCCTTTTATCTTTTTGGCTACACCATCGCCTTTGGAGAGAGCTACGACGTGGGCATTGCTGATGCGGGTGCGCACATCGCAAACGAACAAAACGAGTGCGTAGTGCAGGGGTGCCGGTCACAGCGGTCAGTAGTGTTTCTCAGAAAAAGTGCCACACACACTCGTAGCGTCCTCTTGCTCCTAGTAAGGCCAGGAGCCCCCTTCGTAGCGTCCTTGCTCCGTTCGTAGCGATGTCAGGATAGTAGCGAACATTCGTTTACAATTTCAATCCCCTTGTTGCAGGCTTTGACCTGGCACATTGGTTCTGCAGCTTTTCCTATGCTACAACTGCTGCCACCATCAACAGTGGGGTTGGGGGCCGAGTGTGGAAACACAGCTTCTAAGAACCTGTCCAATGACCGATTCCCCCAACACCTGCATGTTCAAACGATCCCTTGGGCAGTTGTCTTCTGCATTTTGTGTGTTGGAGAAAGTCTGGCAGCTGAAGATGCGCCAGTTGCAGCTCATCCTGTCTAAGGCCCTGGCCGGCAGAGTGGCATTCTTCCCGTACCTGGCGTTGTCCACCATGATGACAGGTCACAGGTCCCAGATTGAAGCTGAAACAAAGACTGCCTATCTAGAACACCTGTGGATGTTCACTTGACAACAGGCACGTCAAGTAGATACAAGTAGATTGCAAAGTCCTGTGGATGTTCCAGAACTGGTCACATCAATCATCACACCTTTGGTCACCCATTGCCAGGTCTTTGGTCCAGCTCCTTTCACCAAAGCCATGCGTCACCGGCATCACCGGTGTCACCTGAGGCCTGGTGTATCCGATCTCTGCCCGGTTGGTTTGGGGGCATGGCTGGCTGCAGCAGATGGGCTTCGTGGACTTCGCAGGCGCCGCCATGCGAGCCATGTGAGCCATGCGTCCTGCGGGTCGGGCCACCTTTATTGCACCTTCTTGTTCCTACTTTGCACATCTTTGCACCTAGTAACTAGTAGCGCCAGGAGCCCCCTAGTAGCTTCCTAGTAGCTTCTTGTTAGTAAGGCCAGGAGCTATGTTCGTTTCGTCTGATCGCTCCCAGTAACCGGCAGGTTCTGCGACGGTGCATCTCGTGGGAGCGGTCAGTGCATTGGTCCGGTACTCATTGCTGTCTGCTGTCAGCCTCGTCAGATGGTGGAGTCCTTCTCGAAGTCTTCAGAGTCTTCAGGTCAAACATGTTTCAAAAGTGTCAGTTCGGTCAAGACTGTTTAACCGTTCTTGAGTGCGATTATTGGCAACTCATGTAAATCTATTTTCGTGGACAAAGATTTTGGGCTTACATCTAAGAGCGGGCAGGGCAGGCGCAGGACCACATTTTGGCCTTTGTCGCGAAACGCGGGGAGCGCCTCTGGCGGAGCCAGGGCCTGTGATATTCTTGCTTGTCGTGTGTCATGCGCCGCGGTGTCGAGTGTATCTAGCGGCGTGGCTGACCGGCGTTGGAGCACTTCGATGGAACCTATGTAGAGACTTCTCCGCTTTGTTTTGCCTGTTCTTTCCGTTTTCTTTAGCAATTGCTTTGTTGTTTTGCCCCTTGAAGAAGGCAGCTTTTCTGCATTTGTTCTCAACATCTCGACCTCACGACCTCACACATCCCCAACACCTTGTGCAACCTCCGGTTCCGATGTCTGGGCATTTGCGGCAAGAACATCCGCGATGTTGGTTTTGGTGCACTTTCTGTAACAAGGCCTGTTTATTGGCCGCCAGAAGTGAATCTTGAGAAAGGTTCCTCTTGAAGCGCCTGGGTTTGTGCAAATTCGTTTGTTGACACATCATGACAATTCATCTCCAGACCGTTACCTTTTGAAGAACCGCATCCACGGAGAAGCATTTTGCTGGCCGTTTTCGCTGGATCCCATTCGATATCAATTTTGTATTCGGCGCAGCTCCTGCTGCTCCGTCACGGTTGTAACTCAACCAGTGGATTAAACCTGGGTTCTGCGAGTTCCTACTCCCAGTAGGGAGTATGCATACAAGTGGACAGTTTGCCACAAACAAACTCCTTCCAAAGTCACATGTTCAGAATCTTATTCTGGTTGGAGGCCATTGCTATTGGGCCTGTTCTCTTGTTTTAGAAGATATATTTCCTAAGCTTATTCAGGCCTTGGTGGGTCTGTGGGGCTCGGGCAAGGTGTGTACAAGGTCCGGAGGTCCCTTTTGTTGTGGACAACGCTCAGACTGAGCAGTTGGCCCATCTTGTGCTCGAATCATCAAAATGGTCGCCCAGTTTTGCAGTTGATGTTTCCCACTGCAGACACGACAAGCAAACACAGTTGGACACCCTGTGAACTTAGCACCCAGTATGACATACACTGAAGGCTTTTTACCTGTTTATCGTCACCTTCTCCCAAAGCCTTCTAACCATTTCTAACCCGCTCCTAGGTGAGCACGATGATTTGTGGTCCTCGAATCGGACGTTTCCCAGAGTATCGCTCATGGCGAAAGCCTTGGAGTTGGCTCTTTGGAGAGAAGCATGATGATCAATACTACCGAGTTCCACAGGAGAAGACCAACAGAAGACCAACAGAAGACCTTGAGTCACACTTTTCGATTGGGGCGGTCAGTTTGAAGAGTATGCCTTCAGGGAGGTTTGAAGTTTGAAGCTGCCTTTTCTATTTTTCCCACGCATGCTCGCTATCGAAAGAGAGATTGGTCGATCAAGGCAGTTTTCATGGGCTGCGTCAGTGTGTCAGCACTTTCTCCACGCAGGATCCCGTGGAGAAGAAGGTCTTTATCAGTTTTCGTCGTTGCCGGCATCCGGTGCAGCTCCTGTTTGGAACCTTTTTGCTGTCACTTGGATAGCACGACAGTCACCCCCTGAAGTAGCGATGGCCTCCAACCTGGCCTCCGAAACTGAAAAAGCGTGCTGAGCAGATTCCGTTCCGAGGCTTGTGGGCTTCCTGGCCTTCAATCCTGCGTCTACCTTTTCCGTCACATCTGGCCACGACCTTGTCATGGCTCATGCATCTGCCACAACACTTCTCGCAGCCGCTGGTGCTGGCATTGGAGGACGGACCTCTTAGTCTTGGAGTCTAAGCCTCAAGAGTTTTGCAAAAGGCTTGCTAAGGGGAAACGTGCAGGACCAGGTTCAGCCGAAACTGCTACGTAAGGCCTTTCGTAGGTTGAAGGAGTCACTCAGGGGTAGAGATTCGGACACCTGTGGACCTGTGGTTGGACCTGCATGCTCTTGAGCGAAAAGTAAGATAAAGGCATGCATATGTGCCAGGCATGGCCTATTCGATGGCGCGCACCCGATCCACAGTGGTCCGTGTTCCGGAGTTGACCAATGCCTTGATTGGTGGCTTAGTTGCCAGCTGCGCGTGTTGTGTGGTGATTCCGCTTCCAGTAGCACCTTTGGTCGGGCTCATTGCCGCACTGCTGACGCTCTCAGTGGAAGAACTCTTGGCATATTTCCAAGTGGACGATGCAGTCGGGGCGGTGCCTTGCCGCGCATTTCATCGCTCAGGGCAACCCGAAGAGGTCGCTACGTTAGGTTGGAGGCCTCCAACCTACTAGCAATGGCCTCTAACCTACTGGCGATGGCCTCCACCCTACTGGCGATGGCCTCCAACCTAATAGCGATGGCCTCCAACCTACTCGCGATGACCTCCAAACTACTCGCGATGGCCTGCAACCTACTGGCGATGGCCTCCAACCTAATAGCGATGGCCTCCAACCTACTCGATGACCTCCAACCTACTCGCGATGACCTCCAACCTACTCGCGATGGCCTCCAACCTACTCGCGATGGCCTCCAACCGCAGATTGTGCATGGACATATTGTCACCAGGTTGCTGCACATGGGCCCTCTGGGGCTTGGGGCACACTCGCCGTGAGCCTCTTCGCCGAAAAGCATTGTTCTGGCAACTCTGAGATTGTTGGGCTTTTCTTCGGAGGAGGTGAAGAAGCATGGAAGCACTTGGGCATTCAATGCACGGGCATCCTCATGTTGACAGGCATCTCCCTTGGCTTTACCTACGTCATTGTGATGTTGGTAGATTTCTTATTTGGCTTCCGCTGCAGTCGTGCTTGTGAGCTCATTGGCTTGGACTTCTGGGAGCACCAGTTTGATGATGGCACCTGGCTTTTGAAAACCGCTGTGTTTTTGCTTCAAACATCTTGGAGCTTGGAGGTGTGTTTTAGTTTCGCATTCTTGTTCCTCGTTGTTTCCGCTTGCATCCGCCAAATTTTGGCAGTTAAAGACAGAGAAATACGAGCAGCATGGTAGAGGAAAAATCTGAAAACATGAATGGAAACAACTGACGCAACATGTGCTTTGACGCAGCACCTCCCAGGCTCTCTCCAATCCAACAACGACAAGGCCGCCTTATTCGACTTAGCACAGATGCGCGAGGACTTGAGCCGTCGTAACCGGCACCTCGACTCGGTGGTCCCAAAGAAGTGGAGGAGTCCCAGTAAAAGCTATGTGGATGTGACGGAGTCTGTGGATAGTCGTGAAAGTCGTGCCAGAACTTCTACAACTTCTCAATCCATGTCCAGTGAGAGCACTGATTTGCCCAAATCGGGAGAATCCGCCGAGCCGGCTCAAGTTGGGCTGTCAGACCAGAAGGATCCGCACATCGCTGTCTTGACCGAGAAGGTGGCGGATTTGGAACGCAAGATCGCCCTGTTGACCTTGGGCCATTTGCGTCAGAAGGGCGAACGGAAGGGCACCACGGAGGATGTGTGCGGGACTCGGGTGACGGCTGAAGCCGCAAGCCAGGAGTCCTCTCCGATGGCCCCCTTGCGCACCACGCGTTCGGATCCAGGATATTGACCAGAAAGCAAGGCCAGGAGCCCCGTTCGTAGCTTCGTGTTAGTGAAGTTCAGAAAGTGTCCAACTTCAATTTTTGATCCTATAGGCTTATAGGATCTTATAGGCATCCCTAGGCCGCCTAGGCCTCATGGCTGATTGCTGCGCGCAAGCGCAGCTAAGCAGCATAGCACAGCTGATAAGGATGGGCCCCCTGTTTCTTACAAAGCATTGCCTGCTGCACCACTGCACAAGCATACCTTGTGGGTTCATGAACTTCTTCCGATTGTCAAGAGCCCATAAGGATTGGATGCATGTGGGTACGTAGCTTGGAGAGTCCATTTTGGTAGCTCAAGACTGCCAAAATGAGACCTAATGTCATCCAATTTAACTTGCATGTGGGCTGATGTTGTAACTGGAGGAAATATGTGGAACGCACAGATGTTTAGCGTGTTGTTTCACGGAAAGACATCAGCCACGCTTTTCTCAACCTTTGCACTGACATCTAGATTCGAGTTGTACCTTGAAGCGCGTCAGAATGTCCATGAGAAAACTATTTCAAAACCTTCTGTAAGTGACAGCTAGTAGGTTGGAGGCCATCGCTAGTGCCCATCGGCGCCTCTTGGACTTCTGGGATTGGGCGATGGAGTCGCCTGCCTCTCACAAGCAGGGGCTTGGCCTGTGAGCCAAAGAAACAAGTCAGTTTCAAGATTTCTGAACTGAAGATGCTTTGCTTCGCTTGCCGTTTCTGTCCACCACTCTCACAATGCAGAGTCGCAGAATAAAAAGGCGTGAACTGCACGGATTCGGAGCTAAACTTTGATGAAGACCATGGCAATTGGGGAGAGATCATAGCAAGGCCTGCAAGGGAGAATTGAGAGAAAGCGTGCATGTTCCGGAGCAGCTTTCGACACAGAAAATTGGAAATGCTTTAGACAAGGCACAGTACATTGTACTCATTGCTTTGCTCTTTTTCGTTGGGCTGCCGTGAATGTTTTCTTTTTCGTCTTGCAGCTCGGAGGGCTCCACATGACGGGACTTGAATTAGCACCAGTAATAGCACCTCTCAGAAGGCCTGAAACACCCCGGCATGCTGTTTGCAAAAATGCTGGGCAGGAATGGCACCAAGAGGTGAATTAGATGTTTGTAGCCTGTAGATGTGTGTAGAGTGAGCATTCCTCATCTTTCCCGAGCATTCCTCATGGAAAGGTTCCAGGACTTGAGACCTGAAAGAGACCGTTGCGATGGCCTCCTAATTAGCGGTCTCCAATTTGCCCTTCTCACGATCCTGTCACTCTTTTTGTGGAACCAATGCATTTGTCCAGCTCTGGTTGCCTTTCTTTTCACTCGGGCCTCTCTATAGGGCAGAGCCATTGGATGCCCCAGCGTGAAAAAATGACTCCGAAACAAGAGTAGAAGAGTAGAAGATAGAAGCAACGAGTAGCAAGAGATAGCAAGAGGCAAGAGTAGAAGTAGCAACATAATATATATATATTGTAATAAATCATTGTCACTTATGCTTTCATTTACATCCTAGGAACAAGAACGCTACTAGAAACAAGTGCCTTACTACTAGCAACAAGAAGCTACTGAGAACAAGAACGCACATGTTGTGTTTTCAACCTTTCAACGAGGAGCGTGGAGCTGCGGCCTTGGCCGGTGGTGCCGCTGGCCCCGCGCTAGCGCGAAAGAGGACCGTCTTTCCCTCGGCCGGGGGGCCGAGTTAGCGCGTTGGTTCAGAATTCAATGTCAAACATGATCGCTCCTAGTAACAAGTGCATCGCTTCTAGTAACAAGTGCCTTACTGGTAGTAACAAGAAGCTACTAGTAGCTCCTGGCCTTACTACTAGGCTTACTACTAGTAACAAGAAAGCTACTATTGGTTGGAGGCCGCCGCGGCCGCCGCTTCTAGGTACATGTTCATCATGTTCATTCGCATTGCCAGGATTCGCATGTTCAGAGAGTCCAGCGATGAAAAACATGTTGCATTTTTGAGACTTGAGCCGAGCGTAGGCATGGGGTGCAGAAAATGAAGCAAGCTGTACTGTATCCAGGATCGTCCAAGATCCATGTTTGATACTTAGGAGTTATGGAGAGTTACTCCAACCTAGTAGCGAGAGTTATGTGCTATGCTGACTTCACCTCTCTTCTGAGGTGAATCGACCACGGCTTGAAAGAAGGGCAGAGAGCCAGGCCAAAAACATTTACAGAGAAACGAACGAAGATCGAAGAGAGGTGGTCGGGTGAGGCAGATATTCATGCATGCAGAGAGGGGAAGAGAGAAAGAGAGACAGACAAAGGAGAGACGACGCGCGCACATTCGTGGAGGTTGACGAGGCGCTCGCCTTGCCCAAAAGGCGCGTGCGAACAAGAGTGACCAATATAATGTTGACCTCTCATTATTTAGGGGGGGTTTATTAATCAGAGGTCAACATTATGTGTTTTGTTTTGTGATGTTTTGTGTCGTGTGTCTTCCTTTAGCGGAGCAAGGTGGATGCTTTATCCCAGCCAACGTCATTTAGGTGCAACAGATGGACTGGTGCTTGCCCCAATGGGTTTGAAGGGTTGGACACCAACGAAGTATCAAAGGCAAACGGAAGGGTAGTGCACAGAAAGGGTTTTGCAAAAACCGATTCTACTAACGTCGTGGAAGGCGCGTGACCTTCGTAGAACCCAAGGCTGTTCGTGGACAGTTCGTGGAATGGTGGGCCAGTAGGAGAACTGACTGCAACGAAATCCCAGAAACCTTCGCAGAACTTCGTGGAAGGTATTTTTGATGCACTAACTTCGTATAAGCGATTTTTGCTGACACCCTTTCTCCACACACCCTCCGTTTAGCCTTCAAAGTAGCGATGGCCTCCAACCTAGTAGCGATAGCTTGAGCCGACCATGGCCGACCTGGACAAACTAAAGCGTCGCAGTTGGTCGCCAAGGCCTTGGTTCTTGACAGAGGGCGAGTTTGTGTGGCTGAAGGCCGCACACAACAGGCACTTGGACATCGCATGGGAAGCAAACTTGTAGAAGCAAAGGGCATCGCTACGAACGGAGCGATCGGACGCTACGAACGGGGCTCCTGGCCTTACTGCTAGGAGCAAAGAACGCTACTAGGAACAAAGGGCATCGCAAAGACCTGTTTTGTCATATCTGTTTGGCAAGACCAGGGGGCATCCAGAGACCCTTGTGAGCAGGTTCCAGGCCATCGCTATAGTAGGTTGGAGGCCATTGCCAGGAGGTAAAAGTGTACTATGATGACTTGGCGTTGTTTAGCAGTAGCTTGGTTGCTCTTGGGGTCTTCTTTGTTGCTAAGTTGAGTAATTATTTATTTAAAGGTGTGCATGATGGTGCTATTCAAGTTAATAGGTGTTGCTAAGTTGAGTAAGAGGCGTTGCTCAAGTACAAAAGGTCACCCGGGCCCAATGGCTTGAGAGTGGTTTTATAGCTTTTTGAACATTAAGCATGGTAATTATGTTCCTGAATTTGGTCGCATCAATCCTGATACAGAAAACCGTCGCCTCCCACCTACGAAATTAAAGGCCGACTAAATTAAAGTGGTCACTGGGTTCACCAGGGTTGATTGGTCAATTATGTTTCCCAAAGCCACGCAGCAGCGACGCTAAGCGATTCTTTTTCCACGCTCAGTCGAGGAAGAGTTCGTCATTGCCTTGCCGACTTATCATCGGAGCTCGCGCAAAGTAGCCTGCCACAGCTGGAGTATGATATCAGACCACTTGCCACTTGCGCCTGCTCCACTGCCAGGGTCGGGTACCTTCTTGTCATGGTCACGACGGCCAAGGTCGTGGTCATCTGTTGGCGGAGGGGAGCTCTGACGCTGGATCTCATCTTCGTCGTTGTCAGGTGGGCCAGTATAGCCCCCTTCTGCCACAGGAGCTTCCTCCAATTTTTGCCATCTTGGAGACAAGCTTGCCAGGAGCGCTGCTTGTCCTTTGACTGGTGCCAAACCCAATTGAACGGCGATCTCCGGTGCTGGAACGAACCTGCTGGTCCCCCGCCGACGACGCGGCCACATCTGTCGTCGCTTGTGTTTGTCATTCTGGTCGGCGGTGGCCCTTGGGCCACCGTCGGCCTTGACAAGTGCAGTGGCAGCGTGAGTCTTGTCAGCCGCTGTGGCTGGACCACCGTCACCCTTGGGTGGAGGGGTGGCAGACTCATTGCCTGCAGGCAAGGTGCGAGGATCAGGCTGAGCTGGTTGTTGTCCAGGGTCGTCGTCACCCTGTTCCTCTTCCATGGACTCAGTAGCGTCGTCGTGGTCAAGGTCCATTGACTTGTCTGTTTTCCCGGAACCCAATGGAGGCGGCAGCGGGTTGGCGGCGGTGTGTGGCTCTGGCGGCGCCGCGGTCGCAGCCGCGGCTTCGGACGGAGCCGGCGTCAAGACAGGTTTGCTCAATGAGCGGCGGCAGGTCTCCCGAGGACAGGGGTCCCGCCGGTCTCTGCTTCGGCTTCTTATTTTTTCTTGTCATCATCTCGCCGCCGCTCATAGTCGCGGCCGCGTTCGCGGCGTGCCCGGCGGTCATTGTCCTTGTTCGTCGCCATTGCCTGGCAGCGACGATGGCGAGATGACGACGACGATGGGGGATTTAAAATAAATGTTAATTTATTAATGTTTGCACCTAAAAAAACAATAAGCATTTGCCTGGAGTCCGTAGACTCACACTGACCTGACTGAAGTCCGTAGACTTTCCCTGCTGGAGCCCGTAGACTCTGACCATTGAAGTCCGTAGACTTTCGCTGGAGTCCGTAGACTCTGACCATTGAAGTCCGTAGACTTCCCCTGAATCCGGAGTCCGTAGACTCTGGTCCTTAGACCTTTGTCGACTGGGAGTCCGTGGACTGAAGATTGACAGGATGTCGTCGTCCATGGACGATTCAATGTCACATGGATCCCTGGTCCTGACACGATTAAGTTAATTTACATATTAATTTAATTATTATGTCGTGTGGATTCTAATTGCGATGACCCCCAGGGCGCCCACCTTGTCGGGCCAGCACTCGCGAGAGTCGCCGTCGCTTACGCTTGAGCCAGACACAGCTGAGTAGAAACGACAAATCAAGTGTTTAATAATAACCCTTCAAACCTGACATGTAGACAACCGTCAGTGAGTCTTAATTAATATGAGTGTTTCACCCTTCACACAAGATGGCAGCAGGGATGCATCTTTTTTCATCTTCTCGTTGTCTGGTTTGGTGGGAAGACTGCGCCGGCCGGTTTCAAAAAAACCTTCTAAATCAGCTCTTTTAAAGTGGCTTGCCACATTTGCAGCAGCAAGTTCCTGCCGGAGGACCCTGCTCCTCCGTCCGGGCCAGGGTCTCCTTGGTGGTCTTTGTCAAAGCGGGAACGTTTCGTGTCTACTTCGCTTCTCACTGGAACTGGAGACCTTTGCTTTTTCTTTGGCTTGTTGGGCAGCGTGTCATCCTCCGGACCTGTGGTGTTCGTCGACCAGCAGTGCTTGCTCCAGCGCTGCCCTTCCTCGAGACAATTCTTCCAACGAATCGTCTCATTGTGGTTCCAGTAGTGGTAGCAAGCTAAATGGTAAGGTGACCGGCGATGTTGCCACGAGCCGGCAATTCCACCTCCGACCACGCGGTTGCAGACACTGCATTCATACCGACCAGTCTTGTCGTCGTCGGTCTGACCCTGAGGCTTCTCACCTTGGTCAGCCTTGTCACCTTGGTGAGACTCGTCTTTGCGCTTCGACTCTGGTTTGTGACCTTGGTCACGCTTCACACCAGGTTTGTGACCTTGGTCACGCTTCTCGTGACCTTGGTCACGCTTCTCACCAGGCTTGTGACCTTGGGCACGCTTCTCACCAGTTTTGTGACCGTGGTCACGCTTCGTCTCACCTTGGTGAGGCTGAGGCGGGCCACCTGAGCGCTTGTGCGTCGTGGTGGTCCGAGTGCTGGTCTCAGCCTTGGCTGGACCTGGACGGGCTGCCTCGCCAGCCTCTGGCACGGCGTGCTTTACAGGGCGCAGGTCGTCGACTGAGACTGTTGGGTCCATAACACAGTCTTCTGATTCTTCACCTTCTTCGTCGTCGTGCGACGGCGGTTCAGTCGCCTCAGCTTCTCCAGGAGCTGCAGCCTCTGCAGACGGAGCAGGAGCCGGAGCAGCTTGCGCTGGGACTAGGACAGGCTTGCTGCTGCGAGACCTGTCAGTCTCCTCGTCCCTGCCACGCCGCTCTCTGTCTCTGCTTCGGTTCGTCTTTTTTGCCCGTCTGTCACGGCTTCGACCCCGTTTCTCTTCGTCTCTTCGGCGATCACGGTCACGGCGGTCGCCACGGCCAGAACGGTCAGTCATCAGCCTGGCAGCAGTGGGGGAGGACAATGATTCTTGAATTATTGGGTCCTGTACAAATTTGTCATTTGGTGGCGGGGGTAAGTTAATATTAATCAAAATGCGGCGGTGAAATAAATTTGCCATTCCTTGCCTTGTTCTCAGTGGTGGGCTCCTCCACGCGCCGACTTGACTTGAGCCAAAGCACCTGGGCAGCCAAGGGTTTAAATCATGCCGAATCAGGCGCGACTAAGCCAGCTAAGCCATCAACCGCTAAATTTGCTTCTTTTTTCCACCCCGAGTTTGAGTCAGTGGGTTGGCCGACGGGTCTCCAAAATGTCTTGGCTGTCTTGGCTGGCTGCCTTTGGAAAAATACAACCTACTTTTTCATGTTTTTGTTGCGTCTATGGACCAGCCAAGGACCTAAACTTGCCGCGACGAAGACGAGAAAACCTCTCAGTCTGTTGACGACTCTGCCTACCACGGAAGTGCGTCCTCACCGTCCTCAGCAGCGTTGTCGTCGTCTCCTGCTTCAGGTGCCGTAGCTTTGTCGTCGTCTTTGGTCTGCTCATTGTTTTTATTCTTGCCCTTGGCCTTGGCCTTGGGGCGTTCTTCTTTGGTACTTTCGTTTTTGCGCTTTGGGCCCTTTGGGCCCACCTGCTGGTTACCTTGGGCCGCAGCCTCTGAGCGGTAGTAAGTCGAGCCTTCCGTTTGCATCTGAGTGACGACAAAGTTGGTCAAAATCATTTCCAGCTGACTGGAATGCGCGTCAGAAAGCGTCAGCCCCAGGTAGCTGATGCGCTCGGACACACAGGCCTTGGCCAACTCTCCCTGAGACGCGCAGAGGTCCAACCTGAAATACGTGACGGAAGCTGCAGTATGAAACTCACTAGTAGTGGTTATTTAAGATGTTACATTGCATCCTAGAAACACAGCTTTCACAGAGTGGGCTCGAAGAAAGCTTCTGTAGAAAGAGCACGGCAGCACAGCGGCGCTGAACACACTTTCGCTCGAAGCTTCCTTGCCCTTTGCTCGCTGCGGCGTCAGTCAGCGAGACGCACCTGTCAGTGGTGAGGACCTCCTCCTTTTCTTTCCTGCAAAACGTGTCAGGCAGAAATAATTGGCGTGGATGAATTTATTTTTTAAACACTAGGCCGGCCGGGTCCTACTGAGATGCCAAAGGTCTTCCGGCTGCAGGGCGGCAATGGTCCCGAAGACATCTCCAAAGTTGTACCCAGAGAAGTCGCCAAAAGGCTTCTCCGGAACCATGGTTGACACTGGGGCTCCTGAAAAGAGACAGGCGGTGGACCTGGATGAGTAAGCCCCTCGAACCCGAAGTTTGCGGTTCCTGATGCTGGCATCAGAAAACACCAGGAGAAGCTCTTTCATTTCTGCTTCAATGGCCTGATCCTTTCTGGCTGCAGCCGGTCGGAACAAGGCTTCTGCCTCTTTGGTGGTGCGCTCAAAGCCGCAGTGCACGAACACCAATTCGCCCTCTGTCGGAACCATGCACTCGTCCTCTTTGCGCTGTCCATTTCTTGCAATCATGGAACCATGCAACAAATTTCTGAGACAGGACTGGTTGGGCATAAAGCGCTTTCGGAGAAGCGGTCTCTGACCTGGGCCAAGGGATTCTCCCATACCGTCCATGTCAAGGTGGGTCAGAACGCAGCTGACACCTCCTTCTCCTTGGAAGTCTTTCAAACCACTTTGGCTCACCAAACTGATCATGCCATCCAATGTCTTGGGTTGCACATGGAGTGTGCAGTAAGTTCGAACAGTTTGGTTGCCGACCGCCTTCCAATACTTGTCAGATCCTTCTGAGTGTTGGCTCGGCGGCTTTCGCACCTCCTGAAGCTCGTCCTCTGCATGGTCCGGGTCTGTAGTTGCGGCTGTCGATTCAGCCAATGCTTTCAGTTCAGCCTCTTCGTCCTTCAACATGGCCAGGACCCTTTCCACCTGTTCTTTCACCTGATCGTGCTCCATCACAGCCTCTGGAGTCCCTCCAGATTTCGCACCTTGCCGCAGGGTGTGGTCATACTTTCTGTTGTAGGTCAAGTCCTGGGATGGGCATCAACAGGATTTAAATCAATTAGACTGTTGGCAATGAAATGAAAAACCATGAATTACAAACTATTTCAATCAAGACAGTCTCCTCCAACAAGTGAAAGCATTCGATGGCGCTTTTCTTAAGTCGTGCCATCCAGCTGCAATCTCCGTCGGAGCCACTATGTTGACGGTAAATCTCGTGGGTCGACAGCTTCTCCTTCAGCAAGAACCTGTCAGCCTCTGCCATACCGCTTTTCGGCAAAAGGACATCGAAGAAGTGGTCCAGGACCTGTCAAAAACTAACATGGTACATTGACTCAAATACACTGAATTGTTGTGTTGTCACATTGTGGGCCCGGCCTTTTTTTCAACTCGAACAGTGCGACGAGCCCGGTGTGATGCTTGTCTCCGCTCAGACTGCCCTTGGAAATCTCTCCGATCTGCAAGAGATCGTAGGCAAGCCCATCCCGCACGCTCTCTAACACCCAGTCGCGCATCTGAGTTGTGCTCGGCTTGGTGGACAGAATGTGAAGCCGACTCATAGCGTGGAAGGGGGAACGTGTCCCGTAGGACGCTTCCAGCTCCAGCAGTAGCTCAACTGCCCGCGAAGAGGAAAGAATGCCTTTCTTGACGGCCAGAGCTTGTGTCACCAAGTTGACGGTGATTTTGCCATCGCTGTCGTCCTCTTTTCTGCCTCCCTGCACAGACTGGAGGCCAAGTCCAAGCAGCTCCTGTACCAGTTGCGGTGGCTGCAATTTTGTCTTACAGGTGGGCAAGCTCTCGCACATAGTCTTGAACTGGTCTATTTCCACGGCAATCTGCATTGCCGTCCTGCTCATGGACTCATGCTCTTGCTTCACCGATTGTCTCCGGTTGAAGGCCTGCACCCACACATTGTGGCCATGCAGAGGGTCCTTGATCTCGACAAAGGAAGCCGGCACGCTCAGCAACACTGCCCGCCACTGTGCTTTCCACTCAGTCCACTGATCCTCCGAGAGCTCGTCCTTGCGCCTGGATGTCCGGTGAATCTTAGTCAGTCTTGCTATGTATTGTCATGGGTAAAATCATACTAAATAATACTTAACTTTGGCCAAGGAACCGAACTGCGGCAGCACAGGAAGCCACCAGCGAATGCACAATCTCTTCTGGCGACAGCATCTGGCAACTCTGGGGCTTGTCGCTCAAAGACGCCTTGTCGGTCAGAAGCTCTACCATGCGGCCCGTCAGGAAACTTGGTTTGCCGCCAGGGAAGTAAAACTCTGCCATGTCTTCAACTCTCCGACGGCTCATTGGAACGCCTGGGGTGGGCGAAGCCAAGATCTGAACCCAGAACAGACTGATGCTGCAGCGATACACTCCATGAAGCCCAAGGGCATTCTGAGCTTTGGCCAGGTCAAAGGGTTCTTGAACCCCAGTCTTGGATCCATCTGACTCGGACTTGGACAGTGCGAGTGGCATTTCCTTGTCAATGCCTGGCCACTCCTTCAAAATGGTGTCAAGGTCCGATTCCACCAGAGCGTAGTACGCTGCGTTCGTTGGGTCTGTGTGCCGGATCGCAGCAGCCGTGGCTGACTCACTTGCCATTGTTGGCGTCTTTTTTTTACTTGCCTTCGCGCTGGGACCCGTAGGTCCAGGCTTGGCTGCAATCGCCAAGGCCGCCTGCTTACGTTCTTCGCGCAACACGGCCTTCTTTGTTTGAAGTTCCCTTTTCACGGTTGCTTGGTCTTCTCCTTTCTCAGTCCTCTCGGCGAGCTCTTTCAGTTCAGCCTTGTTCAAGCGCCATGCGGAAATGTTCCGGATGTCCGAGGTCATCGCACGGCAGTGGCAAGCAACGTGTCTGTCAACAACTTCCTTCAAAAAGACTTAAGCCAACAGCGCAAAAGTGAAAACAGATCAGTGAGAAATGCCAAATGCGAGGATGCTGACATTCAACATTCAATAATTACTTGATATAATTTGTTAAATCAGGAATCCAGTGGGTAAGGACAGTGGTCGTGCAACCGCTAAACGTCGTGCGGCTTACCCGCTCCTGGCCCGGGCTGGGATTCCGAGTAAGACTAGTAGGCACCGCTCTTTCCCGCTGCAACGGGCATGAGTACGAGGAGTGAGGAGGTCTCACTCCTCTTACTCGAGTCTGGCCTAGGCTGGGAGTGGGTAAGGATAGTGACAAAACATGCGGCCGTGATGGCGTGGTGATTGCCCAACTATGCTTACGACAGCCCCTACTATCCTTACCCGAGTCTGGCCTGGGCTGGGAGTGGGTAAGGGGAGTGAGGAGGTCTCACTCCTCTTACTCGCCTCCGTCGCTGCGGCCGCCGAAAAAAGTTGCGACGAGCTTCATTTCGGACCTCGTCCCGGCTGGGCTGTTCGGTCGAACAGGCGGTCACTCAGCGTTGCAGCGTCCGGACCATTGGCAACTAGTCTCCAATGGTCGTCCTGTGCACTGAACTGAATTAAGCGAGCGTGTGTTAATCCTTTCATCAACACACTTGCCAAGACATTGATGCTCATTGCATCGCCAAGGCTTGCTTCCACTGTGCGCGCAGGAAGCTTGTGTTTCTCGGCCGCCCTTTGCATGGCTTTGACGACTTTCTTTGGCACTCCTTGTAGTGCAGCAGCTTCCTCAAGCAGCAAGCGGCGCCGAAGTTTTGGGATGTAATATCCTCCTTGCCCCAAGCGTGTGTTCGTCAGGCACGGTGCGCAGTTTGTCATCACTGCTTGGAATTTTTCCGAAGATCCGACATCCAGGATATATCCCTTGCTCCACATGGCGGAACCTAAAAGTCGTTCGTACTTGGGCAGTTGCAACACCTCGGAGCCGGCCTGGTCCTTTTGGATGAAGTGGTGTAAGTCGACCTTCTCTGACCGCTTCTCCGGCAACTTCACTGTTCCAGCGCAAATCTCTTTGGCCACTGCGAGAATGTAGACTCTGGGGCGCGATTGGGGTATGGCGAAGTCCTGGGTAGTCAGGACTTTGTGATCGAACGCATAGTCGAGCTTGTTCAAAATTTTGAGAATGTAATTCCAAATTTTCGAGTGCTTCTTCTCGAGAATGGCTTGGACCTGTTCCAACACCACCACCTTGGGTCTGCGCAATGCCACATACTCCAACCCTTTCAAGGTCAAAAGACCCCGCTGGTCAGAGACGCCTTGGCGTTTTCCTAACTTGGAATACGACGGGCGCGGATAGCCAGCGACGTAAACGTCTGCTGGTTTCATGCTTTCTTCTTTCCGTAGAAACATGTCAATGACTTGGTGGTCGTTGTACTTCCAGCCACATTCTTGGGCGACAGATTGGTGCAACAACACCTTGTGTGGGCTGACCTCTGACATCATGACGGGCTGCACTTGGTTTTGCAGCCCCAGAAGCCTGTATGCTATCAGGTCCGAGCCGTGGCCCGAACAGTCTGATGCAGTTTGAAGCACTCTCTGTTTCCTGGAGGCCTTGTCATTGTGCCTGCCCAATCGGGTGAGCCAGTTGGACGCCAAAAAGTTAACTCGCTCAAGTTGCAAGCGTAGCTCCTCCTGGCTGACCACGACGACTTTCTTTTGAATCGTCCGTTTTGGGCCAGGCCTCTTGAGAGCAGGCGCTTTGCTGGAAGACGGGCTCGACGACTTGCCTTTTGTCATTTCTGTTTGAATGGAAACGGCTGCGGAATACAATGCAACAGCGTCACGGATTGCTGACAGTCACTCTGAAACTAGTCACTGCCATGACTGCAAATATTTTAATAACTGTTTTGTCTGTCAAACCAGTAAAAGTAATCGAAAATTGACATGAAAACACAGTCGAGTGATTGAAGTGACAGTGACCAAGAATGAATCAGGTCGTCAACACCACAGCATGAGATCAATTCAAGTTTTCACTCCTTTCATTTCAGTGGTCTCTCTCATCGATGCTGTTCCAAAATTGTGCGTCAGAAGCAAGACTACTAAGTCTGACTAAGGCCTACGCCATCGATTGCAAAACCCAGACGTCCGTAGACGCGGTAATTCATCGAGCCGTAGCTATTTTTCTCCAGTGGTTGTTTCAACCAAAACTTCCTGTGAATCCGCGTCTGGCTTGGCGGGCAGCAAAACGCTTTCAAACACCCAAGGTAGATGTGAGTGGGCTGCCTCTGCTACTTGCCAGCATTCATCAAGACTGAGGCGGACTTCCGACGCCGCAGCCTCAGCTGCAGGCGCCTTGTTCCCATCCTCAGCTCCTGGACGGCCCGCAGGCTTCTTTCCTTCTTCTTGCGACCCCTCAGCTTGCGCCACTGGCTGGGGAAGGTCTTGTCCGATTTCCAAGGCCAGTTTGTTCATGTAATCGCATGATCGATCGCTGATTCGCCTGAGCCCCCAATAAATTCTTTCAACCTCGGCCTGCTCCAGGCCGAGTTCCTGGATGAGGGTGGGGCTGGCTGTGAGTCTGTCATGCAGGTCGTCATATAACACGAGGGCTTCTCGACTCTCACAGGCAAGGAAGCACGCGTCTTGGTATGTCTGCAAACGTTGCGTGGCCGGGTTTCCTGCGTCTGTTGGCTGAGACTGGGAACCTAAAAACAGCTGCAGACACGACCCTCCTGTGACAGCGGAAAGTATAGGGTCAGAAGACAAGCAAGCCAATGCCAATGAATGAAAACTAAACAGTATTATATTTACATCGGATATTACCCCGAAGATGGCTGCTTTAAAATTGGCTGGCCCGCCCTGCAAAGTCTATAATATAATACTGTCACAACTGTCTTTGTAAAAGTTCACGTGACGATAATTAATTATTGATCTTTCAGTTTCCAGGTCAGAAGTTTGCCGACCACAGTTCAACGCGCGGCAAGTAAATGAATTCAACGCGGCAACTCAATGACGGTCATGACACTTGCAGGCCATGATAAACGAAAAAGCGCTGTTTTCCCGCAAGGGTCCCCTGCTGCAGGATTATTCCAAGACAGACTGCTCAGAGTCCCTATTACTGAGCTGCTATCTTCACACGGGAGCTTGCCTGCTTGTTGAGACAAGTTGCCGTGAGCCAACGCAAGAATTCGTCGGCAGTAAAACATTTCACCCTGGTTTGGTTGAAACCAGCTGGGATGGCCTCCCCCGCACCCCTGAGATGGAGACTGGGCTTGCGCCCCCGGCCTTTCAAATCTTCCGCCCTCACTGCCTGCCACCCACGGGCGCAGGCTTCACGTAAAAGTATCGTCGCGCAAGGCTCTTCGGCTTTGAAAGTGTCAGTCACGAAGATTGCTACGTGTATGTCCTGACCCGGGTGAAACGTCAGCTTGACACCTGCTCCTCCAAGCAATGCTGAGGCTGACATCAAGACAGATCCACTCAGAGCGGCCATGGAACGCACTTTTCTTTCCACATTGTTGAAGTTTGACACCACGAAGAGTCTGGCCTCCCGCAGGTCCTGAACATAAGTTTGAAAAGTTGAATTAAATTAGACAGACTCAGATGCTTGAAAGTATAGTGGCAAGCAATCGAGCAACAAGAAGCAAGGGTCCTGGGTTCTCGTCGCAACCCCATGCTTGGTCAAAGCTTGAGACACTGCTTGTGCCTTGCCACCTTCCATCTTGGAGCAACACCACGCTGGGCCACTGAGAGCTTGGCAGGCCCACTCGTGACTTTTCTTCGTGGATGTCAACTTACCAGTGACTTCGTATTCCTGTCTGCTTTTCTTCCTGAGTTCATCACCTTTTTGGTTTGCCTTGGTCAGTCGCAGGGCCTCTTCCTGAACCTCTTGGGTGATCTCATCCGACAACAAGCAGCCATCGGCCAAAGCCTCAGCCTTTCGTTTCAGACTGTGTTTTCTCTGGAAATTTCTTTCCTCTAGGGAAGACTCCGTCAACAGCTCGGCTGGTTTCCGAGGAGGTGTTTGACATTTTCGCACTGCTTCCAGCACTGCTTTCTTTCTTGTGCGGTTCCAGTCGGCAAAAGATCCGGTTTTCGTTTTGGCTTTCACGCCGCAATCGAACCTTGGTTTTGTCCGCGGGCGGGACCTTCCACTGGATAAAAGGGAAGAGTAGATTAGTCGAGCGGCTCGAATCACTTCAGGTTGCACTGCGGGGCTCGTGGCCTGACAATCGCCAACAACAATGGCAAGGCGGCGATCTGTGTCCACGGAGGCGTTGCTCAGTTCGACAGGACTTCTCTTGAGCTTCGAGAATTGTTGCTCCACTCCACTCGTGGCTGCGGTCCAGCATAGGTAAGCTGCCAGGACTTGTATCAAGGCCGTGGCCTGGGCGCCTTTCCGACTGCTTGTGCGATGAAGGGCTTCCCTCCATGCTTCTCTGTTGCTCAAACCTGCTTGCTTCTTCAAAGCCGCAGCAATGGGTAGCAAGCGAGCATACTCTTGCTTCAGTGCTTCATAAGGCACCGAATAGACTTTGGCCAGCCTCTCCAAGTTCCGTAGAACATCTGCGCTGCAGTCACGGCCACTGACGCAGTCGGACAAATGAAAGATTTGAAATGCCGCCGCCAAGTGCCAACTCGGAAACTCATGCGCCACCACTTCCTCCACAAGAGCCACCCATTCCTGCAGCAGGCTGCAACTACGACAAAATTGTCTATTATTATTTAAAGTATATGATTTTAAGTTTAAAAAAGAATGGCACTCAACCTCGCGCCCCCCAAACAAAGCTCGGCTCAAGCGCCGGGTCCTCCATGATTGCAAAAGCCCTGTCCAAGTCTCGGCGCGAAACTTTGATTTCCAAGGCACATCCATCCTGAATAATGGTCACTGGACTTTTTCTATCCAAGAATTCTTTCGTGAAAGTGGGTAGTGTCAACACCTTCCGGTCGACGAAGAGAGACCTCGCCGAGAGGACGAAATGGCTGGCGCGTAAGTTCAAATCAGCAACGTCAGTGTCTTCACGGTCACATCCCCTGGTGTAGTCGTCGCTGATAGCTGCAGCGTCGGTAATCATTGCAAGCAAAGCTGCTTTGAACGAAGTGAAATTTTGGCAGAGCTTGCTTGCCCAAGTGGCCTCGGCACCTCGCATGGCTTGGACCCTACCGCACACATTGAAAGCTGCTTGCATGTTCCGAATTATACGGCTCAGCGGGTTCAGATACGACGAGAACCTATGTTTGGCCGCACTGATGGAGGTGCAGGCATTTCCACTCAAGTCTCCTCTTGGCGTTGGACGGCCTTGGCCCACCACTGGCTGAGAATCTGGCTGTGGTGTATCTTCTGAGCGAAGCTTTCAGACCCATGGATCCATTCGTCAACCAAGATTTTGACAGGTGAGAGCGCCAGGAACGGTCGCTTCAGGAGCCGGGTGGACGCATGCGCCGCGTCCCTGCCGACGACCTTGCAATTCCGAAAGTTGGATTGAAAGTCGGTCGCGGCCGCGCGGCGCCCTCTCTCTAAGTCACCCGCCAAAAGTTCGGCGGCGGCAGCGTCGCTGGCCACCATGGTGACCCTGTCCTGAATCTTCCGTAGAAGTTCTAAGTCAACTGGCTGCTCACTTACCTTGCTTTGTCTGGGCGGTTGCCGCATTGGTACACAGAAGTTCTGCATGATTTCAGCAGTTGTTTCAGCTATGGACTCAGCAGAACCTGTCACAGGCAGCAAGCCAAGCGCGCCACTGATGGTGGTTAAATCCTGTAGAACAGCGCGGAAGCGCACAAGAAGTCTTCCTTTGCGTTCGTCTCATCAGAGAGATGCAGCGAGAGTCTGCCAGCAAAGTCCTGTTGCGAGCGCAAACTGCTTCCGACAGGGCATACCGCACTTGACTTTTCTTGTCCGACGATCCGCCACCTTGTCTCGCAGATTGTCCTTGGGTCATAGCCTGCAAACTTGACTTGAAAGTCTCTTCGCTAGGGGCGGCGCCAAGACTATCATCTTGACTTGCTGTCATGTGTCCCTTGGATTTCTCATGCCTCTCTAAGTTGAACTTCTTCAGCACGGCACTCGGAAGCTGTTCAAAGTTGGCCCATGGCCCCTCCAGACCGGCTTTTGCGCAGAAGCTGCAGCCGAGCTTGGACTCCCCTTCCACCAAGAGCACTCTCAGCCATGGCTTCTTGTAAAGCGACCATGCCTGCTGCACGGCGCACAAGCTGCACTTGTGCACTCCTAGCTTGCAAGTCTGGGTGTGTTCAGTGACAAGCTTACCTGGAATCAAGTGCTTCAACTTGTCGCGAGAGTCTCCCATGGCGCGAAGAAGGAAACCCTGGAGAGCGACGAACTTGCACATTGCATCTGATTCTGACAGGATACTAGGATGCTTAATTATTGGTCATCAGTGTGGCTTTGGCGGATGCGAAAATCATTTTCAAATCACTGCTTGTGTTGCGCGATTGCAAGCCCTTCAGCCCCTGACAGAAAGTTACAATTGAATTGTCAATGCTTTCGGCGACGACCCTCAACTGCGACATTAGTAGTGGCTGGCAGCGCACATCGACGCCTTTTTCCAAAGTACTGATCTCATCTAAATACAGCAGCAAATTGTTCGAGAGTGAGCTGACTTGAAACACACATGTCCGTAGACAGTCACATTGTCCGTAGACGCTGTCATGGGATGATGAGTGTCCGTAGACATTACCGAGACAAGTGAGTCCGTAGACATTTTCCTGAGGTGTCTGTAGACTGTCCGTAGACAAGCGCAGATCTGTCCTTAGACAGACTATAATGTTATTATGTCCGTGGACATTGTCGTCAATATCTCCTTAGAGGTTCATTCAATTTGGTCCGTGGACCTTGGATCTTAATCAGACCTGTCCGTAGACAAGTCCAACATGTCCTTCAACATCGTCGATGGCCATTAGGGTGAGAGGCTACGATTCCATGGCAAGGTACACAGGATGCAGCCGCGGCGGTGACAAAACTCTCTGAACCAAAAAACCTGCCGAGGCGCCAGCAGGTTGCAATGAGTCAAGGTGTCGAAGTTGGACTTATCACCGCAGTCTCGGACTCATCACAATCCCCACACGTGTTTTCGTTCAAAAAAAGACATCTGGGGTGGGCGACCTTGCTGCTACTATGCTTGGGGTTATTCTTTCTGTAAACTGTCAATGCACGGGTATCACCTGGAAAGTTGGGCAACACTATGTTCTGAAAAGAACATATATGTCATATTATGTCAAATAGTAGGACCAATTACCAGATCTGTCAACACATGGATGTGAATGACTCAGGTGGATTGTTTTGATAGATAAATTAACAATCCTTAACTGGTCACACGGTCAGGACCAGATTCATTGCCATTGGAATGTTTCAGGACCTCAAACCAATGAAGGGTCTCAACGCTGACCAGACAGTACTTTGACGGCATTCCTCAACTTAAGTAACTTAGCAACACCTATTTTAAATTGAGCAACATCATGCACACTTCTTACTCAACTTAGCAACGCCTTTTACGAAAATAGCACCATCACGCACACCTTTTTTTAAACTCAACTTAGCAACACCTTATTTTACTTGAATAATAGCACCATCATGCACACCTTAAATTACTCAACTTAGCAACAAAGAAGACCCCAAGAGCAACCAAGCTACTGCTAAACAACGCCAAGATGATCATTTAACTCCTTAGGCAACTTCGTTTCAGGACACATTGGCTTTGATGGCAGTCTCCAGAGCTATCAATGGGCTCCCTCCAGACCACCTGGCGTTGGCCACCCAGTGGTGTTCAGCGGTGTTGAGCTTTGATTGGCCAGGCCGTCTCGAATCAAAAGTTGATTGAACGATGACATGTTCGCCAATTAAGAGCACTTCTGTTGAGCCAATTAAGAAAAGTGAAGCACCTAGTAGTAGAATTCGATGCAATTACGGCGTGTTGTGTCAACTCCTAGGTGGGCACAACAGCAGATGCAAAGGCACCAGTCAACTGTCAAGGATGACCGAACGGTCTGATCTCTTCACGGTTGGCTTCGGCATGGCCTGCCGGAACACGTCGGTGAAAAGAGTTGCCGGTCTTGCTGCGTTTTGCTGCCACCTTCTATAGAAGCAATAGATCCTCCCTTTAAAACGGCGTGACCTTTCTTTTTCATCTCTTTTTCCCTCCCAAGCTGGCTAGATGCTTTGCAGTGTTTGAGATGTTGTTGGTTCCCTTTGCCAAATGTTGGAGGGCGGATGGAAACGGAACTGCGTTATTTGAGTGTTTGCTGATCAGGTTTAGGCTGTTCAGGCTCAAACAAAAGCAGCAAATGCTCCGATGGTGCCCGAGCGGGGACACATTCATGAACCTGAAAAACTGTTAGTTGCAATTAAGAGCGATGGCCTCCAACCTACTAGCCATGGCCTCCACCCTGGTAGTCAAAACAATTGGTGATTGCTGGCAAGAGATGGCCAGAGTCAAATAGTTGCTCTCCGATCAAGATCGTTAGTGAAAATCCAAGCCATCTTCCATTAGCGTCCTTGCTCCTAGTAGTACGGCCAGGAGCCCCGTTCGTAGCGTCCGATCGCTCCTAATATGTTAACGTTAGCCGTCAATTGCACCGTCTCAAAGCCATTTCCACACCTCGGACGCACACGACCAGTGTTCATGCTGCGATCACTATCTCATGCTGCACTGGAGCACTCCCGGGCAGTTTCAAGCCTTCAAAGGTCAACAACGTTGCTGGATTTGGCCTATGAGAGTGAAGAAGACACAGATGCCAGGACAGTCAGCTGGCTTCAATGTTGGCACTGTTGAGTTGAATCAGTGGCATGAGCTTCATGATCTTCTCTTTTAGCCCGCCCTTAGTTGGGAGGCCATCGCTAGTAGGTTGGAGGCCATCACTAGTCTCCTCTTTTGGCCCGCCCTTACTTAATTCAGTAGGCGCCCACTTAATTAAGAGAGTAAGCTGCTAGCTACGAAAAAGCTTCTAGCAACTGGACGCAGGATAGCTCACGCTTCCTTGAAGAAGCGCTCGCACTAATGATTTGGTTCCTAGAATTTTACAGACACGTACTTAATCTTAGTTAGCCATACTGCTTCAACATTCTTTGGATGCACGCTTCATGGTTTACAACCGGTTCTGTTAGTCACCAAGGATTATCAGCCTGCTTGGACATGTCTAAGGCGGGTGGGGCTTTGCATTGGCTACTTGGTTCCCTCATGGGGCCATTTGAGCCTGGCGAACGTAGGACGCTCCTGGGCCGCTGGCTTTTGCGCACTTTGGCACTGCTACCTTTTCGCCACGTCAGCGACCTTGCTCTTTGTGAACTCCGCCGCCACCATTCTCCAATGCTATATCCAGTGGTTTTCAACCACCAGTGTTCATTTGACAAGCTTCCAAGAGCTAGAGTTCAAAACCCAGAACTCGATTCACTTCATTGGGGCCTTTTTCAGGTCCTACATTTTGCTCAGTGTGACCTCAGATGTGATGCGTTTCGCGTATTTGCTTTGCAAGGATGCATGGCGTGCAGACGTTTTTGAAGCTTACCGCCGCCTTTGGGCCTGCGATGCATGGAATGAAGTGAGCGCAGGGGAATTCTACAGCCACAACTGGTCAATGTGCTTAAGCCGGCGGCAGAAGATTTGCGATGTCATTTGCCAATGCTTTCTTCATGCTTCCATCGACCTAGTGCCATTTCTCCTCTTTCTCTACGGCATCAATGAAAAGGAAACGACCCAAGTGTTCTTGTGCCGCATTTGCCTTTGCATTGGAATTGTTCACATCTTGGTCTTCTATTTTCTTTGGTTGTGCACGGACGTTGCCCTGAAACTCCACCATTTCGTGGGCGCTTGGGCCATGGCGCGTGGTCATTCCCCAGCTCGACACCGAACCTACTCGTATCACCCGACGGCTCCGGGTGTTCCTTATTCCGAATGCCGCTCGCTTTATGCCCTTTGTGCGGCTCTGGTGCACGGCTTTCTGAAAGTGCTTCCTGTAGCCATGGCCATTGCAACGCTGATCTTCGGGCTCCTGGTTTCTCCCAACTGTTATGCGGTGGCTGCAGGAATGGCCCTCTCGAGCATCATGCTCACCTTGCAAATTCTTGGCCCAGTGGATACCATCACCATGGGAAATATGCGGCTTTTAGATCCATGGTTTCCGATCCCTGAAGAGCTACAACAGTGGGCTGAGCAGTGGTGCGATCTAGGCTTTAGTGAGCAGAAGCAAAAGCAGCAGCCGTTTCTTTTGATGTTGGGTTTCTCAGCCTTGGCTTTTGGATTCTTCGGCTTTCCGGGACTCACCATGGTGTGCATTTTGCTGCTGGTGTGCGTATTGCTGGAGCTGCTGGTGCTGCGCGCCGCGGGGAGATTGTCCTGGTTATGGTGCTTTCTGGAATCCGCGGTCGAGACACTGATCTTAATCTACATTATGCTTTCTACAGCGTCCGATGCCTTGGCAGACTGCACAGTGAACTTGCCGTTATTCGTCCTCGTTGTCCTAGTTGTATTTCTGGGAGGCATTCTGCAGAAGGATAGAGATTAATAGGAGACTCTATAGGTACTTATAGTCAAGGACAACTAGTAGGCAGGAACGGAACCTAGCCAAAAATTAAGCAGATAATTTCACCGGGCGGTAAATGTTGAAACCCCCTCACCTCAAATCCTTTGCTTACTAGTCCTCACTCAAGATGTATATATTTGTTTGCTTCATGTTTGCTATTGCTTTGCTTTGACTAATGTTCCTCAATCCTTGTTCCTTACTAAGTTTCCTAGGTCCTTTGGGTCCTGTCCTACTACCTGTCCTACTACTGGCAAATAAAAGGAGAAGAAAGGAAAAGGAGAAGGAATTGTAATTTATCAATGCATTTGTCGTCTCGTCCAGCACGTGGTGCAGTAGTAAGCAGCAAGCATTCATGCCTACTACACTGCAAAGTATCAGACGTGTGTCCAACGGCTGTTTTCATTCAATCCCGGTCCCCATATATCGTGTCCCGTTTACATGAGCAACTGCGCAGTGTGCCCACTGGTGGGCTTGTAGTATAGGATCCGAGGGATCACCCATGGCGGGTGCTAGAATCAAAGACAAAATAACATGTGTCCTCAAATCATTTAATCCTGACGTCATAGTCTTGTCCCATTTCTTTGAATGTGTATGTATGTATGTATATATATATATATACATATCTCGATAAAGGCTTTCACAAGATAGCACCCAACATGTTTGATAGACACACATTTTCTGCTTACTACCCCTTGAGCCTGGCTGACCAAATCTAGGCTTACATATAGGTCCGCTCAAAAACACCAAAAAAACAGCCTCGAGCAGCTGTGGTAAGCAGGATTTTTTCTGCCTACCGGCTGTCCGTGACTATAGTTTTGGAACTGTGAGAGAGAAAGAGGGAGTGAGAGAGAAGCAGCGAAAGAGTATGAAACACAGAGACCTGATTGACAGCCAGACTCGCCAGAGAGAGAGAGAGAGAGAGACCTGTTTTGCGAGGTGATGATACTTTTGCTTGTCATGAGACAGTTCGGCTTCCAGCGGCAGTTCCATGGTGGAGAACGGCTGCGCCACGCGAGCGTCAACATCTTCGGAGTGGTTCATGTTTTTTTTGTTGTCCTTGTTTGCTTTGCCATGCAGACCTATGGTGAAGATACTGAGTGGAGCGCGTTCGGATCACCATTGAATTCAACTGCTTTTACTGCTATTCATCAGGTCCCTGAACATTCCACGTGGCTTAAGGATGCTTACCCGGTGTGTGGCATTCAATTTCGCCACCAGCACAATGGAACGCAACGGTACTTTCATCTGGCAGATTTAGCATTGATGGCATCTTTGACCTATGAACCACGGAGCCGAGTGTCTGAAGCGTGTGCTCACTTCTTTCAATCCAGCTGGCACGTGGAGACGATCGACTCTAAGTTTCTGAAGCAGAACGAGGTGAAATTCCTTCTTTTTACGCATCCCAACTGCAAGACGGGCAACCCGAGAACAACAGGAACCCGATTCGGTTTTAGTAGGGAGCCGTGCGAAGAGACAATCGCTACGGAACGTAGTCACGGAACGTAGAGGCCGCCATGTTCACATTCCTTGCAATATGCATAATATGCCACATGTTAGGCCAAGACTGGAGGAAGGCCAGTTCGTTTTTGCCTGTTTTTCTTCTCGAGGTCTGCTGACAATCGCACGACAGTCATTGCAGTGAGGGGCACATTGGACTTCTTGGACGTGTTGCAGGATGTATCGCTGTGGCTGGTGCCTGCGCTTCTTCAAATCTTCAATTATGTGGGGCTGGATGTCTCATTTGGCCCTTGGGGTATGGCTATGGCTGGACTATCCCAGCTCATCCCTATGGCCAACATCGACAGGGAAACCACCTTCAAGTCGGTTTTGTTGGCCACTGAATTCATGATGAAAGAGCATCCGGAAAGACGTTTCTATTTGACGGGCCACTCCTTAGGAGGTGGGGTCGCCAAGCTCGTTCAGCTCCTTTTGGACACGGAGAGTGTGAAGCCACAGACTGTTACCTTCTCGGCGCCGGGGGTTCATTATGCTGCCCATGTGCTCTTGGAAGACCGCTTCATCAATCTTCATGAAAAATTTGAGCGACAGATGGGCTTATTGATGACCATTCGACCTGGGCGTGACCTGATTTCTTTGATTGATCATGGTAGTGGCGCCACTCTTCGAGTTCCATGTCGGGGCAATGCCTATCAGTGCCATAGTATTTATCGGACTCTTGGAAGCGAAATTGGGGGGCCATCGCTAGTAGCCCCCAAAGAATGCCGAAGCTTGAAGTAGCTAAGCAATGCTAAGCAGCTCAGGACTCTTTGGAGCATTCTGGACATTTGTGGTGCTCCAAAACATTTGCCGCATCTCTTCGTACCGTGCAGCTGGTCACCCGACGCTTGCTGAAAGTGGTAGCCCCGAAGGAGTGATGAGGTCCGGATGAGTCCGGAGTAGTCCGGAAAGGTGACAAAAAAGGAAGTAAAATCGGAATAGTCCGAAAGGGTCCTCAGTCTTCCCAAAGATGAAAGATGATGCAGAAAAGCAGGTGAAAGAGAAGAGAAACAAGGAAGCCTTTAGAAACAAGTGCATCGCTTCTAGTAACAAGTAACAAGTGCCTTAAATGGAGAATTCTGGTAGAGGATGGCAGGTGCAGGGCCCAATGAGGCACACCAAAAACGGCAGACTGGCCAGTCAGGGGCCCCGTGAGGGGTGAGGAATGCGACATCTAAGAGGTCTGATGTCGACAAGAGACGGTTGCAAGGGTTGGAGGCCTTCGCAAGTAGCTTGGAGGCGGACGACTGGCAGCAGTGATTGCAGCTTCATAGCCGGGCCATAGCGATGAAACAAACATCGAACAGCGAGTTGAGAGGCCGAAAAGCCCTATTCAATCACCCAAATCGTGACAGAGACAAAGTGAGAGCAAAGATGGAAGAAAGAGTTCAAAAGGTACTGGCTGCTTGCTTGGACTTGGGAATGTTCATGGATGTTCATGTTCTCATATGTTTTCATGGTGCTCACATGTTTTCACCTAGCGATCACACATACCATACCATACCATACCATACCATACTACACTGCCTACTTAAATAACCAATATTACGGTAAATGGCATGACATGCATTTAATGCAGTACATAACATACATTAATACCATACATAACACGTGATGTGATCATTTGACATGACTACATGGACTACATGTCATTCATGAGAACCTTTTCAATATTGAACGGGTGAACATCAAAGACCTCCTGCTTCATACAGTTGTCCATGTCCATGTCGTTTCGCAGCATTCAAGTTTCCAAGACGAGCGCGTCAACGTGGATAGCAGATTCCTTCATCGGGAATGCATCCATGGAGTGAATTCGTTCTCACTGTGGCATTGGCTGGCGGAGTGGCGTGTGCCACAGGTTTGAATTGTCCGGCCACGTGCACAGCGACAGTTGACGGCTCATCTTGGCCATGCAGATACCATAGTAACGAGTGCAAAGTGAATGCTACCCTGAATCCTTCACGCTGCTTGGTGGAATGACTGGCAAAATGAACTAGTTCAAAAAAAGAAACATCGTCTCTTGAGTTACTGATACCGATGGCCTCCACCCTAATAGCAATGGCCTCCAACCTAATAGTGGCCTCCATCTGATAGTGCTGGTCTCCATGAACATGTTTTTGCAGATTCAGCGACCTGCGATGGTGTTCTTGAAGACGTTTTCCTCACGATTCGCACGTCGTGGAGACCCATTTGAGGAATTGATGTGGTCGATCTCAATGTGGCAGTCATCAACCCATACTCGGGAGGACTGGGGGAACTTATGACTATGGTTGAGCCTTCTGTTGCCCAGGCCATCCAGGACTGTGGGGGTAGCAAGCGAAGAGAGGGCGAACAATGTCGAGGGTTTTGTGACCCAGTATCGGCAGAAAGGTTTCAGTGATTCGCGTGCAACGATGCCGCAGGATATTGAAAATAGCGCCTTTTTGCCTGGCTATAGACTTAACGCATACGTCTCAGTTTCTCGGTGAAAGGAATGGACCAGTGAGGTTCATGACTTCAGTTTTAGGCTTTCGCCAGACAATAAGAGAGAACAAGGCGGAACAAGGCTCATGAGATTTCATGAGCTTTTGAACGAGATTTAAATGCCACTGCTACTAGGTTGGAGGCCATGGCTGCTAGCATGGAGCAGGTGGAGGCAATTACTTACTACTAGGTTGGAGGCCATGCCTGCTAGCGTGGAAGCCATTGCTTCTAGGTTGGAGGCCATCGCTAGTAGGTTGGCAACCATCGCTGTTATGTTGGAGGCCATCGCTGTTAGGTTGGAGGCCATCGCTGTTAGGTTGGAGGCCATCGCTACTAGGGTGGAGGCCATCGCTACAAGGGTGGAGGCCATCGCTATTAGATGTTTTTTTCTCAAGCAAAACCTATGGAACGCGGGTTTGTTGGAATATTGGCGCTCGGTCGCTCGCTCCCACATCGAACACAACGATTCTGAGGATTCCAAGTGCACAGCTCCTGATGCAATTTCAGCATCTCTGGTTGCTATGACCACGGCTCCGAAGAAGCATGTGGTATTGAGCGATTCCTGCAGTGCAGCTTGCGAAGCCGTCAATGACGCCATTCGACAGTTTAATGTGCTGCAGGCGCGGCAGAATCACGGAGTGTTGCGGGAAAAATGTGGTCACAAGAAGCTAGTAGAAACAAAGAAGCTACTAGAAACAAGTGCATCGCTAGTAGTAACAAGTGCCTTACTACTAGTAACAAGGACGCTAGTAGTAACAAGAAGCTCCCAACGAAGCATTTCGGGCATCGCCACGAGTCCGGAGCGATCGGACGCGTGCTACGAAATGGAGCTGGCCTTACTAACAAGTAGCAGCTAGAACGCTACTAGTAACAAAGGGCATTGCTACTAGGAGCAAGGACACTACTAGGGGCTCCTGGCCTTACTGCTAGGAGCAAGAACGCCACTAGTTCGTCCATTGGCCTGTTGGTCCGACTCAGGTAGGTCCCGGCTGTGTGTCGGTGAGCTTGAGCGACCGAGATCGCTATCCATATTTCACACGGATGGCACCTTCCTTGCGATTCAACGTGATTACTCTCTATGAGCTCTTCAAGTTTCTGGGTGTCCATCGAGTCGGCATCATCTATGGATACAGGAACATCAACAATCTAGTGAAAGACTTGTTCCTGGAGATGATGGCAGTGGACAATGCTGCTGGAACCTACTCATGGACTCCCCTGTATACACAGCGTGTTGAGTCTATTGAAGATGCAGAATCCGCAGCGCAGATGGCGCGCAGCAAAGATGCAAGGACACAGAACCAAAGTTACACCGAACAAGATGTCCGAGGTAGTTTTCGGGTTTGGGATTGATTGTTTGTGTTAGCCACGATGGTTTTGTGTGTGCGTACGCTTGCTTTAACAAGTGTTTTCCTGGGCTGCTGTGCTAGTTGCTGGTGCCCAAGGTATTTTCAGGGCTGCCCTAAGAAAAAAGCAGCTCAAGTGCAAAACACAGGGTTGACTGGCTTTTGCAAGATGATAAGTTCTCATTGTGCTTGTATCTAGTCGTATGGTGACATGCACAACCAACGAATTTAACTTAGAGAATGCCTTTGAAAGCCTGCTTTCATTTGCTTTCCCAAGTCCACCTGTCCAGCAGTTCATGGGACTGACAAGACAGCACTCAAAACAACTGGAACTAGAATCTAGATGGAATATGAAAGAATAGGGCAACAACGCAAGCACGCGTTTTGCACTGTTGCCCAGGAGTCGAGGGTTGTTCCTCAAAGTGTTCGGTTCGACAAGACCGATGCAATGTGTCCGTTCTTTCCGGTTGTCGGCACCAGGAAACGAACCAGAAGCTACTAGGGGCAAAGGGCATCGCTACTAGGAGCAAGGACGCTACTAGGGGCTCCTGGCCTTACTAGGAGCAAGAGGACGCGACGAACGGAACAAAGGGCATTGAGTCACAGCCAAGAGGGATCGTGTCAAATATGCTGAAATGCGCGACCTGACGACGGTAGTGGATCACTACTTGGACGTTCGCCGATCTCTAGAAACTGCTAGCAACCTAATAGCGATGGCCTCCACCTACTAGCTTCTATAGTTTTCTAGAAGGCTTCAAAGACCTACTATAGTAGCCTTTGGTTCCTAATAGCCATGGCCTCTAGAAACTTTTTTTAGGTGTCACTACATGTCGCATGTGTCCGTTTCTGTGACAGGGTTGTCCCCTAAGAGCTGTGGAAAGAAGGGCCAGAACCACTTTTGACTGTCGCTTTTAAGAGCCAATATGCTTCTTCTAAGCACAGGCAAGAAAGTCGCTTTCGCAGCTCGCAATTGGAGATGAGAAACCTAGTTTCACAAGTAAGTTTCTAGTCATGTTTGCTTTTCTAAAAACTTTATATCGTTTTCTCTCTTGAAACCTCTGTATACATTATTCTGTGTTCGTGTGCCATAATAATGTGCTTTTTGTCTCTAGAATTATTGACCGTATTTCTCCACTTTTAGCAGTTTTGCGTAGGGAGGGAGTCACAACCTTAATACTTACAATTTTTCTTTTAGTGCACTACTGCTACGCCTTGGCACTTGCCAAATTCAAAGCGCTCACCGTTGGCAAATGTGGGAGGCCACAACGCTCTTTTGTAGATGTTTTGATCGCAAAAGTTGGAGGCCATCACTAATAGGTGGGAGGCCAGTTGGGAGGCCATCGCTCTTGTTTTCATCGCAAAAGTGCGCACACTGCCATTGCTTTGACTGATCCACATGAGAACCAAAGTCGCTGTAATTACCACTTGGCATTCCAGCATGACCACAGGCAGCAGGCAGCGCACGTTATGCCTATCATTCTATCCGATCCGTGATTGTTGTCCTTCTGCTTCCACTCTTGCAGCATTTCTTGACTAGCGAGTTGCTGTTGCGAGAATTCTCTTCAGCACAAACCGTCCTGTTCACCCGTGACGCTTGGCCGGGAGGTGCAACTTGGCAGATGCGCTCAACTCATTTAGAACAAACGTTTATAGAAGAACCAAATTAAAGAATTAAAACTTGGCAGATGCGCTCAACTCTTGGAATCCAAAGAGTTTTCAAGAATTCTCAAGAAATCTCTTAGGATTCCAAGAATGCCACCGCGCATCTCAACATTTAAACCGAGCGAGACTCGGACCCTACGCCGTTCTTCTGCCGTAGCGGAGTTCACATCGCATCCGGTTCCAGCGGACGCCTGGATGGACCATCCAACACTCGCTCCACTGCATCCTGTGCGCAGGCCTGCTGGCACCTTTGTACATGCAGCCCGTACTAGGCTCGTACTAGGCGCACCCCACCCCCTGCTCCCCCAGCAGTTTGCAGCAGAACTTACCCAGCTGTGGTCCATGGCAACCCCTTCACATCACAAAGAAAAGTGTGTGCTGAGTTCCGATGGAAGCGTGCCTTCACAGGCAAACAAAGCTTGCGCGTGTACAGGTGAGTGAGATGTCTACCAGGAGGGCTACTCGTACGTGTGTGTGTGTGTGTGTCAACCCCTGTTTCCAAGAGCACTACTCTAGCTATTCCTACTATTACAGCTCGGCCATTAGCAATCTTGTACAGAAAACCAGCAGGGGGCACCGGGGGTGCTGATGAGACCGGTGCTAACAAAGACCCTCATCAGTCACCTGTGATACAGTTGGAGACGTCCAACTGCGTACCTGCATTTGCATTTTGAGAACCTAAGTATTGCCAAAGCTGTCCAATAGGTTGTTTCCGCATTCTACGTATTCACCTAGAGGATCCTAGAGGGCTAATGCACTCCGCGAAGAAGCCTGAAATCGCGCTCTGCGGAGCAACCTTCCCAAGTGTGTCTTCGCAGCTTCTTCCCACTGTGGTAAGCTGTGTGATCCCTGCGGGCCGCCGTTACTGCAAGAACCTTCTCACTCCTCACCGCAGGAGTAAGTTTCCTGAAGTTTTTCTGAAGATCATTCGACTGAATTTTCCTGCTCGAAATCAGCTTGCTTGGAATGTCTCACCTTGCACACGTGAAGTGTTACTGCAGAGTTCACTGTAATTTCCACTGAAATATACTGCAGAGTTTCACTGAAACATGTCTCACCCCGGAGATGTTTCCTTGTTCCAATTTTTAATAATTTTCAATAAATTTTAACAAAGCGCCGATTCGGCTTCTCGGACAGTGCCTATGGGCCCGTACCGTTCGCTCGTAAGAGCATCCATCCCTACCCCGCACCCCCTGCACCTTTGCTTGTTTTTCTTGCCTTTTCGTTTGTCTTGTTCCTTCTTTCAGGCTTTTTAGGTATGATCCAGGCTCGTTTAGTCAACGCACGCCCTGCCCGCCCCCCACACCCCCTGCACCTTTCTCTTCTTTCCTTGCCTTTTTCGTTTGTCTTGTTCTTTTCTTCAGGCTGGTTAGGTGGCATCCAGGCTCGTTTAGTCAATGCACGCCCGAACACCCCTTCACCCCCTGGCAGAAAAAGGGGAAAAAAGAAAAAGAAAAAGACAAGAAAAAAAAGAGGGACAAAACAAAACCAAGCTTCAGCTGACTGTCATTCAAAAGAACACTGCGCCGCAGCGCTGCGGCCACGTCGAGAAAAAAGACAGCCCGCTTGCTTTATTCAGCTTGCTTTATTCAGTTTATTCAGTTTACTTTCTACAACTTCCTGACTGTATTCAACTTGCTGACTTTACCACCAAGCACTATTGGCATACAAGGACGGTTACTAGATGCGCCGGGTTCGGCTTTCTGTGTGTGTCAACCCCTGTTTCCAAGGGCACTTACTCTAGCTACTCCTACTATTACAGCTCAGCCATTAGCAATCTTGTACAGAAAACTAGCAGGGGGCACCGGGGGTGCTGATGAGACCGGTGCCAACAAAGACGCTCATCAGTCACCTGTGATACAGTTGGAGACGTCCAACTGCGTACCTGCATTTGCCTTTTGAGAACCTAAGTATTGCCAAAGCTGTCCAATAGGTTGTTTCCGCATTCTACGTATTCACCTAGAGGATCCTAGAGGGCTAATGCACTCCGCGAAGAAGCCTGAAATCGCGCTCTGCGGAGCAACCTTCCCAAGTGTGTGTGCAGGTGAGCTCGATCTATGTGCATAGCCCCTACCCTGACAAGCCTATAGAAAAGGACACATTGCGACATCACATTTCACCATGCCAAGGGCCACTGCACATCACATTACTTGTGCTACACTTCCACCACCCAATTGCACTTAACACCAACATCGTATCGAACGCCAAGCGTCAAGAGCACCACAGGCCAACGCCAGACACATTGAAACTACATGTGACGTAGCTACGTTGCACATCACCGAGGTCCCGCTTTGGGATGATTTTCTGAGCTCCCACCACCTGGTTCCACTAGAGATTGCCAGGTGTTGGAAAGTGTTTATCAAAAAAAGGATTGAGGTTGGAGGCCATCGGGGTTGAAGGCCATGGCTATTGGGTTGGAGGCCATCGCTATTAGGTTAGGAAAGGAAGGAGGCCATCGCTGTTAGGTTGGAGGCCATCGCTATTAGGTTGGGGCAGGGCGGGGAAACAAAATCCGTTTTCACGCTTTAGCTTGTGCACATCCTGCACCATGCCGCAGGATAAACTTCATGGCCCTGTATGAGCTGGAAGGTTCCATGGTACTGTGTCAAGCCTACAAGAAGAATATGCTCACTCCAGAATTCAATTGGTTTGTTGCGACAGGATGGTGGAATGAAAATTTCATTTTGCTAGCGGCAAACACTGCAGAGAGCCCATGTACTGAGAGCGAACTACATCGAGCATCCTTTGGTCTAATTGGAGTTGACCGTGGACCAATGCTCAACACAAATGTGGTGCACTCGCTGTCGGGAAGAACACTATCTGACCTGTACCACGACTACACCGTGGGTTGTGAGGGCTTCGGAAATGGAAAGGGTGTTTGCAGTCACCAGTGGGCTGGTTATTTTTACGATGGTATGTGGCTCATCGCGCAAGTCTTGCACAACTATTTGATCGACCAGAACAGGTGGCATGCACGGCATGCACAAACAAGCGACACACAGGTAACAGTAGAACTACAACCAACAGTATAACTATAACCATCACTTTGCATACATGCCAAATTGTTCTAATGGCATTCTGACGTAGTGGAAATGGAAAAGTTACACAACATCACAACATGCTAAAGCGTCTTGTTACATGTACGTTGTGACTGGTTCCTCGCACAGCAGGTCTTTTGATTCCTTGGGTTCCAGCTTCTCCTTGGACGCGCTCTACGAGTGTCCGGGCGAAAGTCTTTCCTAACCAACCTCAGCGATGGCCTCCACCTAGAAGCGATGGCCTTCAAACTAATAAGTACTACTGGTGCATGCCGAGACTTGAAAGTGGCAGGATGTGCTGAGACCTTGTGTCGGAGATAGCTCTACACCGCATAGATTAGTCTAAGACTTCCCGTTTCTTCCAAACGAAGTGCTAGTATATTAGTAGTATATATATATAAACAGGTGTTTGGCAGCGCATTGGTGTGCCTGTGACCGCATGAGGCTGGCATTGCACGTGGATTTCCAGGGGCAAACGGGGCGCGTGCGTTTATTCAACTCCGTGGAGCCCAAGACGAGTCCTCCGTCCCACGGAGATCGCGATGGCATTGTGCTGCTGCGCCAGGTGCGCGGCGAAACGACGAACGTCGAAAGGAGAGGAGAGATGTTTCTAATAGCAAACATTGTTACTACTAGTAAGGCACCTGTTACT